TTCTTTCTATTTCACACCAAATAATAACTATAATATAAATATAAACAATAATATTAATAATAACGAAAATGATAATAATATAAATAATAATAATAATAATATTAATAATCAATATTCCATGACCTTGGTAATATAAATAATTCATCATCCAGAGACATATATAATAAAAGATTATATTTTAAATAATAATGCAAAATTCGATCCAGACAAAGAAAAAGATAATAGAGTAAATAATATTAATATGGAATAATAATCATCAAAATAATTATGTCGTATAAAAATAAAAGCAATCCATCCAACTCTATTCATTCATCGATTCATTCTGCCTTCCAAATCTAAATCCAAGTTAATCAATTTGAAAAAAATCGAAATTTCAATTCTAAAATCTATTTACTCTGAATTAATTGCATTCTTTCCTATAAAGTTTATTTTCAACAATGGGTTTATTCTATCATCATTTATCAATTAAATACCATCTACAAAAACAATTAACACTTTCATCCGTTTTATTAAGTACAAATTAATGTCATTTGGTCACAGATCCGGGTCAACCTTCATCATCAATTTTATCATTTATTATTATTATATAGAATTAAAAATTCTCCGTCCCTAGTTAATTTTCTAATCATTATCAAAATAAAGATATATAATTTTAAGTTTTTTTAAATTTTTTAATAAAATAAATTTTTATTGTTTTTTATTATTTAAAAACCATATGGTAAATTTTTTCCATCTTGTTTGAAATCTTTTCTAAAAGTAATTATTTTACTGATTGGTTTAAAGTATTTGTTGTTTTTTTTTTTTAAAAGTGAAGATAATAAAAAGCAATGCTTTTAATTAATCAGTAATGTTTAAAGTATTTGCAGGTTTTAAAATTTTAAATATTATCACCAGGAAGAAATAAAAATTAAATATTAATAAAAAAAAACTCCCCGTCCGGGAATTGAACCCGGGCCTTTCGCGTGACAGGCGAAAATCCTCACCACTAGACCAACGGGGAAGAGTTACAAAAATCAATTTTTGGTAAAGAAAACCGTTTTTCACATATCAAACATAATTCAAATAAATATTATCAAACTATAGTAATGATTGTAAACCAGATTATTATAGGGCCAATTTTGAACAACATTTTTAATTTTGAAAAGGTTTAAAAATAAAAATAAAAATTATTTCTTTATAAAATTAAAACTAATGTCCAGCCAAAGGATTTGGGAGATTTAAATGGTGCATCCTCTCTTTTTTTAAAATTTTTTTAACAACAAATTAAATAAAACGTCATAAGGTTTTTATTATAAAATTTTTTTTTATATCATAGTATTTTTAATTGATATAAACAATTTGTATAAAGAACTATATCATCAAGTTTTATTTAAAATAACTATTATTAACAAGATAATAAAATTTAATATAAATAAAATATTATTAAATTTAAAAAAAAAAAAAATTTTAAAAAAAAATTTTCGTTTTTTTTTTTTTTTTTAATTTTATTTTTTTTTAATTTTTTTTTAATTTTTTTTTTTTTTTCTTTCAGTATTTATTTTTATAATTTAAATAAACTCTATATATATATCATTAAAAATGAAAGTTTTAACACACAATATGATGGCATGTACCAAAAAACAATGTATGGGTAAAGGTTTCCCATTAGCAGTCGAATGCAGTAATTTTGAAACTTTAAATCAAGAATTTAATGTTGAATTCACAAAAAATATATATCCAAAACTCGATTGGAAAGGTATTATGGAAATGGCCCAAAAATTCAATATCCCAATAAGTGCCGATGTTACAACTCATTCATTAAAAGACGAAAAATTTTTAAAATCATTACACCATTTACTCTGCAATGTAAGAAAGACCCATTAAAATAACGATTATATAATCTAAATAATTAGTACTAATTATTATTATTATTATTATTATTATTATTATTATTATTATTATTGGTATTGGTATTTCCACTCTATATAGTTTAAAGTTATTACAGGTTCATTACAATGTCCAAATTGTCAAAGAGTTTATCCAATTGATAAAGGTATCCCAAATATGTTATTAAGAGAAGATGAAATTTATCAAGATATCCGTGAATAAGAATTTTAAATAATATAAAAAAACAAAATAAATAAAAAGAAAATAAAAGAAAATAAAAAAAAATATAAAAATAAAATAATTATAAAAAAAAAAAAAAGGGTTGTATTTGTATAAAAATATTATATTATATATATTATATTATTTGTTAGGGTTGTTATTATTGTTATTATCACTATTATTATCTTCACTATTATTATTATCATCATTAGATGGTATTTTTCTTGAAAAATCTAAAACAAAAGACTGGTTTCTTTCTTTATTTCTTTTTATAATTTCTTGCTTTTCTTCTTCTGTAATCTCTTTAATTGGGGAAATGGCTTTAAAAATTCTAGAAAGAGTCATAGGTTCATCAGGTTTTTGATTTTGGTTGTTGTTCTCTATGATTCTGTTATCGATACCTTGAATTAACATATTATATAAATCTTTATCACGTTTATTTAACTCGAGAGATTCCATATTAGATTCGACTAATTCTCTTAATTCCTCAATGTCTTTAATTAACATATCGTTATGTTGTTGTTGATAGAATTTTTTGAAAGCAAAGAAACCAATGGCACCAAAAGCACCACCTGAAACGGCACCTTTTGCGAATGATGATGGATTTAATAGGGCTGATGTAATACCACCAGTAATAATACCAGAGAATGTGTAGGTTGAAAATGGTGGAAATAATAATTGATATTGGAGTATATGTGATGTTGCCATGAATGTGGTACCCAAAAATGTTGCATTAATGACACTCTTTAAAAATGAACTTACAGGTTCGACCTTTCCTCTAAACAAAACTGGTGTTACTATACCTATACCGAGACCAACCATTAAACCATTTTTAAAACCTGTACCAACACTATCTATAAATCTTGGTGGTCTTGGATATAAAATTTCTATAACTCTTTTTTTAATTGGATTGTTTAATTTGTTTTTATCTGTATTGTTATTTACATTGCCATCATCATTACCACCACTATTGTTATTTGATTCAGCCATATTTAATTTAGATTTTAAAATTATATAATTTACAAAAAATGAAAAAAAATTTGAGTTTAGTTTTTGAAAAAAAAAAAAAAATAAAAAAAAAAATAATTTTTTAAAAAAATTTAAATTTTTTTTTTATTTTTAAATTTTTTTTTTTTAATTTTTTTATTTATTTTTTTCATTTAAATTCAACAATAATTTTTTATTTTTTTTTTTCTTTTTAATTTGTGTAAATTCTATCACACATTCAAATCATCGATATATACAATAATATAATATTAGTTTCTTATTATTATAGTATAGAGTATAGTCATAAAAATAAAATATAATACAATACAATAAATAAATATAGTATATATTTATATATAGTGTATATAAATAAAATATTAAAATGTGTGATAACTATGCAAGAGTTTTATGTAAAATGATTGTAGCACAAATAGCTAGAAGCAATGGATTTCACTCTATAAGTCAAATTGCATGCGATTCATTAGCAGATGTTATTCAAATTTGTAAATTATCGAAATTATAGGGGATTGATTTTCTTTTTAAAGATTTCAAATAAAATAGAGCAATTAATTTTTCTAATACCATTTACATTGATATATTTTTATAGATATTCAGGATATAGGTATTAGGGCACACGAGTATAGCGAATTATCATGCAGAACTGATTCAAATTTTTTCGATGTTAAACAATCATTCGAGGATATGGCAATTGATTTACAAGAATTACAACAATATTTACTACAATCGGACGAAATACCCTTTGGTCAAGTTGTACCACCATTTCCATTACCAACTACAGATTCACCACAAAAATCACAATATGAACAATATGAACAACAAAAACAACCAACACAAGATTTTCCACTACATATACCTTCATTTTTACCATCTCCCCCAGAAAAACATACATTTTCAAAGACACCAGTAAGTTTATTTTATTATTTACCACATCATTGTCATCATAAATCATTGTTACATTACTAATATAATTTCTCTTATAGTTATATGGTGAAGTAGTTACAGATCCTTACAAAATTAAAAAAGTTAAAAATAAACAAAAGAGACAGGTAGAAAATTCATTAATTAAATTAACAGATATTTCATCAAAAAAAATACCAAATTACGATATGATAAAACAAAAAATACATTCAAAAAAAGAAGAGGCATTAGGTGTAAATAATAACAATGAAGGCGATTTAGACAATAATAATAATAATAATATAGATAAAAATAAAACAACAACTGAAAATGGTCACA